ACGTATAAAATGGTTTGACGAGTTACAAAAAAAATTTGATGAGTTCATCAAAGCCTGGTTTATTGAAATTAGACAGACAAAATATTGAAGCGAGTTTTCGTTTTCATTTAATGTATTGAATATAATGTGAATAGTGATCAGGTAGATGACAACTGACTAATATTATTATTTTACGTGAAAGGTGGAATTTGCAAGGAGTCGACATTCATTTAGTCGATATTAGAAAGCAAGATATACTGAATGAGTGTATGGAACTTTCTGATTGAAAACACTCACAACCGGACCACTGGTTGAACTGATTTTTCTTTGGTTATCTGGTGAGCTTGTATCAATGCATTCTCTAGACAATCTCGAACTAGGCAGAAAGAGCTACCCAGATCAATCTAGTTTTAAGCGGTTCTATGTCGTACACTCACTTAATGACAAAATCTCTGAAGTTAATCGGATGTTTCAGAGAATATATTCCCAGCAAAACTAGGAAATAGTCCACTGAAAGATGAAATAGAAAAATGGAAATTTATTGTCGTTACATGGATGACACTTTTCTAGTGTACGATGAAGTTTGATTGATTTTGGAGCAACTCCAGAAATTCTCACCCAGCAGTCCACTTCACCTACATAGGAGAATAAAGTGGCTCTCTGCACTTCTTCAACGTCCTACTAACGAGAAGAGAGGGTGATTCTGTCAGAAGAACCATAGTTAGAAGGCTAGAGACCAAAGCTCAGTATACACACTTTCTTAGCTCCGTACCTGGGAAATACAAACGTAATCTGATCACGTGCTTAGCATTTATAGCTAAGTCTATTTGTTCTGAAGACTGTATAGAAAGAACTCCAGGTCATCCGAGACATTCGAGGCGAGAGCGGATATCCAGAGAAGTTCATTAAAGTCAACATATGTTACAATAGTGGTAAACATGAACTGCCAACGGTGGAGAAAAAAGCCTATATTTTTACGCCTAAAATTTAGGGGAGATACTCCTGTGAAGATTCGAATGCAGCGTTTAACCAGGGTGATAAAGAAAACTTTCTACTCTGCACGTCTGTGTCTATCCTTCAGTAGTCGTTCAATGTTCACCCAACAATTCAAAGATGTCTAACCTAACCTTAGCTCTTCTTCATACGAATACTATTTCAACTGTTCCTGTGGTTCAGGTTATATAGGGCGCACGATTAGACAAGTTCGTCTACGGGGTTGAGAACATTTACCAGCTTTGTTCAGCAGGGGGAAATTAAATGCATAAAAAGCTGGATCATGCCACACTTGGTCGATACTCGAAATCGCATCGACGTCAACACAACTTTCAGGGTTATATACCGAATTCCAAAGTCATTATCACGTACAGTTCGCTTACTCTCCTATACATAGCTGAAGCTGTTGCAATAAGATCGACTAAACCGGAACTTTGTATCCACAAAGATCACGTCCAGACGCTGTTCCTACTGTAGCCAAGCAATGATTAGTGATTCTTCTTCTCACCAGGACTGTTTCTTCCCCTGAAAAATCTTGGATATTTTCTTTGTCTACTAATTATTAGTCATAATTTATACCTTTTATGCAAACATTCTCTCAATGCTATCCAATTTTCCACTTATACTATCTGGACTTATTATTAGTGATATTATCTGTTTTCTCAATATATGCTTCCACCTGTTTCATTTCACATATTCGTTATCTCATTATGAACCTCTCGTTCCAGTCCTACTGTAACAACAGAAGACAAGGGCCAGGCAACAGATCGTTTTATTATGAAAATCAACACGTATTTATACATCTTTCAACTACATTATTATAGACAAGCGCAGTCATCTGATTGGTTGTTTAGGTAGACAAACGCAGGCTTCTGATTGGTTGTTTCGGGATTCCTTGACAGATAGAGTTCTCTCTGCGAATCATATTTTGCCACGTTAACTTTGCTGTGATTGGTTGTTGACTCAGGCTTGTTCACGGCCCATATTAGTGACCTAGACCTTAACGTAGATTAGTGCCAACCAATCGGCTAGCTGCCTGCTCTCACCACACTCGTCCCCCCGTCAAATACGTGCGACTGAAGTCGGCTTGATCTACTTGGTGCAGGCGTCATCGTTGGCTTGTCTCGCTGTATCCATTTCTGGAGCTCGCTGACGTTCACGCGCCTCTCATTGTTCGCCATTGCGACTGTGTCTGCGTAACCCCATCTCGAAGTGACCATATATGGTCCTTCCCACTTTGGAAACTGTTTGCCTGACCCTGTCGAACATTCGTCCATACTTCGGCCCACACCTTCATATGCTGCTTTCGCCCGACCTCCCAGCAGCGTCTCAAGTAGCAGCTCCATCGCTGACAGATCTTGAACGCCACTCAACTGCGCAGAAGCCTTGAAGTCCTGCCCGAAGATCCATATGTCTCCATCAAAAACTGCAGGGTATAGGCTTTTCATTTGTCGGTAGGCAGCGACACCAAATGTAACAACAGAAGACAAGGGCCAGGCAACAGATCGTTTTATTATGAAAATCAACACGTATTTATACATATTTCAACTACATTATTATAGACAAGCGCAGTCATCTGATTGGTTGTTTAGGTAGACAAACGCAGGCTTCTGATTGGTTGTTTCGGGATTCCTTGACAGATAGAGTTCTCTCTGCGAATCATATTTTGCCACGTTAACTTTGCTGTGATTGGTTGTTGACTCAGGCTTGTTCACGGCCCATATTAGTGACCTAGACCTTAACGTAGATTAGTGCCAACCAATCGGCTAGCAGCCTGCTCTCACCACACTACTATCTCCTGTTTAACTCAGACCACTTTGTACTAGCCACTCACCTGACACCTTTTATAACCTTGAACTGATTTGTCAATTTTCCTACCCCGCACTCTACAATTCTCTTATGATTAATCACCACCATTGTCTCCCGTTTTACAATATTTTGGTAATCGATTTCAGTCTAGCACGTTTGTCACACGAATACGACTATTTATTTTGACACCCCATAACTAATCTGTTATTCTACGTTAAAAATGTATTCACCGAATAACTGGCCTTTATTGTAACGACAACAAATATTATATTTTATAATTGTAAGAACCTGAAGAGAAATTATCGGAACGAATATTCTTCGTTCAGATTGACTTTTAAATAGGAAAGAATAGAGAAAACTATAAAAAAAATGAAGTTTTGAAGTTGTGTGCTTATAATTGATATGATTAGTCATCTAGTGAAAAATACTGTACTACCTAATCAGCAAATTAATACTGAATTTCAGCCTACCACAGTGCTCTGGTTTTACACATGCACCATTGTAACTCAAATACAACTAATCATCGCTTTTGTATTGGTTATTATCAATATTTAGGATTGTGAAAACTCATCACTTCTCTCAATATCTTGTTTCATGAAAAACATTATTATTATTATCATTACCTTGGGTTCCTAGTGGAACATAGGGCTTCAGCTGCACGTCTCCACTTGCTTCTGTCTTCTGCTGTACTTTTCACCCGCATCCATGTTAGTCCATACTGTTTCAACTCCTCTTCATACGACTTCCTCAATGTCACTCTTACACTAACGTCCCACTCGCTGCTTCCCTTTCGGCCTGCTTCCACTCGAGCAATGGCTTGACGCGTGCGCGATGTCACTCAGCGACCTCCACAGCGAGCGATTGCCCAATCCATCTCCACTTTCTCCTGCATACTTGTCGGTTGGCGATTGGTTCTTGTTTTGTTTGTTTGTTCCCATAGTTTCCCATAGTTGGTGATTCTTTCCGGCCCGGCCATCTGATCTTCAGTATAGAGCCAGCGAAAACCGTTGTTGGTTGATAAAGGTCTGCATGCAACAGGCTGTTGGAAATATTCTTTGTGACCCGCCCGCCGAGTTTCTGATCCGTATATAAGAACTGACTGACTTGATGTTTGTATTGAAAATCTGACTGAATTTTGTTGTTGATGCTGAGTGATGGAGATTTCCAGATTGATTTCAGGTTGATGAATGTGTTTCTCGCCTTCTAGATTCTCGATTTGACATCCTCGTCCGTTCCTCCTGTAGTTGAGACAATGCTGCCTAGATAAGTGAATGAAGTAACTAAGCTCTTTCAGATACCTCCAGTTGATGGTGATTGACGCTGGATGTTGCTGCTGTTGTTGTTGGTTGGTTATTTTCATCACCTCCGTCTTGTCTATGTTCACTTGGAGTCCTATCTTCGCCGGCTGCTTCTTCGACCAGTTTGTCGGTTTTCTACTGTGAGTCTTCGATTGTGTGTGACATCAAACATGAATCATCCGCGAAATCCAGGTCTTCTAGGTTCGTCACGTCGGTCCAGGATATTCCTGTCCCGTTTCTCGTTTCCCACTCACTATCTGACGCATAATCCAATCCACCACAATTGGGAATATTTTTGGTGATAATAAGCACCCTTGTCTGACACCCTTGTTATGAAGAGCATGTTTGCATCTAAATGTGATTTCAGAGATTTAGAGGAAAATGAATTCACCATGCGAAGACTCTTTCCTGAACTGTGAGTTTTGTGTTCATTTACTCGTCTGGATGCAGTTTATTCATGAACATACAAAACAAATTGAACTAGGAGCCATACCGACAGTTAGTACAGGTGAGTATTCAATGCAGTGTGCATTTCGAATTCTTGTTGGTTATCAGGCATTCCACTATACTGTTTTATGCCTGTTCGTGACAAAACTAAAGTCAACATCAACGAGACACGCTGCGCTGAAATCAAGCGTTCACTTACTATCTCAACACGCAAGAACCCCTCATATTTGTTATCAACCAAAAAAGGTGTTCACGAAAATACATTTGTTGCAGGAGATCTATTCTACAGAAAGAGGAAGAAGAATGCTAAATATTCAGAAAATGAAGCGTATGAAATTTACTAGCATCTAAGCGGAGCATTTGAATAAGCACAGTTGAAACTGATTTTCAGTTATACAATGAGTATGAAGTCTAATTTTGTCATTTTCTCTGCAGTTTGAGTGGTGTTTCGCACAGCCATATTCTAAAGTTTACTTCATCCGAGTACCATAAACATTGGCTTGGTTTTGAGATGAAGGTTTCGAGTTGTTTTTATACCAAGATTCACAATGCCTAGAAGGATTGAGAGGAAAAGAAAGGAAAACATCAGGTCATGAGTGCTCATCAGAATCAGTTTGATAAATATACTAAACAGCACAAAGAAGAACTTAAACTTCTGACGCATAACAACGATATACTATTAACACGCCCTGACAAAGGTGCAGGTGTTGTTATTATGGATCGTAAAGATTATATCGATAAAATGTCATGTCTACTTTCAGACAGTAGTAAATTTTTGAAACTGAACGAGAAAAACAAGACGGAATTAATTGAGAAACAACTTACCGATACTTTAAAGAGAATGAAGAACACTCATCTCATTCGTGAAGAATTATACGAAAAGATCAGACCGACAGGATCTCTAATACCAAGACTGTATGGTCTACCGAAAATACACAAAGCTGGAGTTCCAATTTGCCCTATCTTGGATATGTCTGGATCACCCTATCATCCAGTAGGTTGGCTGAAATCCTCGAAACTGTCAGGGGGCAACTATCTAATCATTCCCCTCGGAACACCTTCCAATTTGCTGAATGCATACAGGATATAAATGCGTCGAATAAACTAATGCTGTCTTTGGATGTAGAATCCTTATTTAGGAACGTTCCAGAGACCATATATTTTATATGCAAATATATTGAAGACAACAAATAGTACATAGGGATACTTACTACAGATCTTAAAGAACTACTTTTGAGATTTACTTTGAGTGTACAGTTTACTTTCAATGAAACAATCTACAGACAGAAGGATGGTATTGCGACGGGTTCTCCCTTGGGTCCTCTCCTTGCAGACATTTTTGTGTCCAGTCTAGAAAAATGGCCCCCTGAAGCCTATAATCCAAAGCTTTCAAATGTATAAAAGGTATGTAGATGACACCTTTATTATTTGTAATACTGATTGTAACCTGAATAATATATTAAATGTATTTAATGAGCGCCATCCTGCGATAAAATTCACACTCGAAATGGAGAACGAGTTTAGCATTCATTTCCCCGATGTGAACTTATCAAGAAGAACCGATGGAACTTTGAAGAGATCGATTTATCGTAAGCTGTTATGGAATGGTCAACTGATAGATTTCTACATCTGGGTACCCCTTGGTCGAAAACGAAACCTGGCCCGGTCGCTTACCACTCGTATTCGGCGCATATGTAGCACTGATACTGTGGAAGATGAGTTATACATTTTGAGGAAAGTCCTAATGGAAAATGGATTTCCACCACGTTTTATAGATAAGAATATACATTCAAAGTCTACAAAACGTGACTTATCAACTGTTCTCAAGAAAATACTTTACATGAGCTTGGAATTCAAAGGGGACTTAGCTTCCGTTATCATGAAACGAAGGATATCACAGTCCCTGAAAACAACATTCCCTGCTGCATCTCTGAGAATAGCCTTTACTAGCCGACCATTATTGTTCAATAACCTGAAGGACAAGATCCCGCTGTTGACCAACTCTATGTGTGTTTATCAATTTACCTGCTCGTATGGAGCTAGGTATATCGGTCGTTCGACTCGAGTTTTGTCCAAGAGGGTGCAAGAACACTATCCTGCTTGCTAATTACAAAAAGGTGGAAGTGGAGCAATAAGAAGCGAGATCATTGAACATCTGGTTGATAATGATCACCTTATCTCTATAGCCTCCGCCTTTAAAGTCATCTACAAGGCAAAGAGCAATCTACCCAAATCCCTACGTACCCGACCCATCTGTATTGCTGTAGCCATCTTTGGTTATCGAAACAGAAAAGCCAGATCTCTGTGTACAGAAAAAGTGCGTTCAACCCCTCCAACTTTCATGGTCTTAATCCCTCTATGCTAAAATATGGTAATCCTTAATCATATTTTAGCTCTACCAATTTTTCATTTTTTCATTTTGTCTATTCAATTTGTATACTCTTCCTTATTAAGTCAATTGTTATTATTACTATTCTCGCTTTGAACTGTCCCCGGTATTATTTCACTTGTTCCACTTGTCATTCTAAATCACTTCTTTTTTACCACGATAAATTCTATGCTATTAAATTTCACACAATATTACGTAACCTTTTTGTTTTATTCGATTTGTCTATTTAACCTATAATTGCACACCCTTTTTCAAGTTCTATCCATCCTATGAATTATTCTAGGTATGTATGACGTTAATTTGCTTTGCCACTTGACATTTAACTACGATTATAATCACAAACATTTTAGTTTTAGTTGAACTTCATATGATTATTATTATCATTATTTTATGCATTCACACCCAAGATTGAATTCCTTCACCGGATATAACTTCTTAAAAACCATATACATATACGACTGTACAGCTTGATGATAAATTCGTTAAAAAGAGTCTCTTCTCTGAATCACCACTTGTTTTGATTTTCTATATGTTGCAATTGGAATTTTCCATGACTTAAAAATAATATAATGTTCAATTAAAAATTTATGACGGATAGCTCTATACTTTTTTTGAGAGTCGAAAGCAAATGTGTAAGTTTCGGTAGATTCAGTGTCCTATCTGTTAGTGTTAATCTTGTACAGAAATGATTAAGTCTGTTTCCGTGTCATCTTCAGTAAGAGGTAATTCTGGGTAGGGAACCACCAAGTACCTGTCGTCAAATGAATGTGTTGGAAAGAAAAGAGGTGGATGCGAAACACACTGAGGAGACTGTTGACTAATACCACATATCAGGTCGTCGCTTGAAGGGAATTAGAAATAATGAGTTGGCTGTCAGCGTGCGAAATGGAGGATATTGTGTGTGTGTGTGTATGTAGAGGAGATGAGAGCCTATGGGCAATCGTGGAGCTAGCTAACGAGAATTTTGCAAGTGACATACTGATTGAAACATTTTAGTGACTTCTTTTCTGCCAATTGTCTCTTCACACAGAACCCTGGATTAACTTCTGTAAAGATGCAGGGAAACAGTTGCTAATTAATGGAGAGGATATTCTTTATGCGGTAAGATAATTTCAGCTCACTTATATCAAGAATTCAAATGCCTATTAACCCAGCAATGTCTATTATATGAGTCAAAGGCAGAACACTACTAATCCTACTTACAGCCTCCGATGAACTACATGAAGTGTGATAAGACTGAAATCCAACTGGTCATTACGAGTGACACCACAAGTACAACACTGTGAAAACAAGACAGCAGTGACACAGGGACGCCGAGGTTTTGTATGCAAGAGAAGGCTGTTTTGAAAATGGTCAGCATAATTATATTAACATTATCCAGTAATGTTATGCACCCATAAACAAAGCAGAACTCAAAAATAAAGAAGAATTCTACAGATAACTACAGGGAGCAATGGACAATACTCCAGCTGGTGACATTAAAATACTAATGGGAGAAATGAACGCCAAACTGGGACCAGACAACACAGGAAGAGAACTCATCATGGGTAGAGAAGCTCTCGGAGAAATGAATGAAAATGGAGAACTCTTCGCCGACTTCTGCGCCTTCAATGAACTAGTGATTGGTGGCAGCGTATTCAAACACAAAGATATCCCACAAGGCTACAAAGGACATCTTCATTGCAAGCATAAAGGACGAAGCCGAGACACAAATCAACACCAGCGAAGAGGTCGGCGTCGAAAAGCACTGTGAAAACTTGAAAACGGTGTGGAGCCAAACCTGCATGGAAGTTCTAGGCAGAAAAAAGAGACAGGACAAACAGTGGCTCACTACGGACACTTGGAAACTAATAGAAGAGAGAAGGACAGTGAAACAAAAGATTACCCAGTGCACTGACGAGCAACAAAAACAGGAGTTGAATGCAAGCTACAATACACTGAACAAAAGAGTGAAGAAGAGTGCCAGTGAAGACAAAAGAAAATATTATGAAACCATGTCAAGTGAAGCACAACAAGCTGCAGTGCAGGCAAAGGAGACCTCTCCACACTCTACCAAACAACTAGGCGTCTATCGGGCAAACGATCGACACAGATTAAGCCAGTAAAGGATGACGATGGAAAGTCAATCGCCAAAGAGGTGGAACAGAGGAAGCACTGGACTGGACACTTCAAAAGACTTCTAAATCGACCGACACCTACAGCGCGCCCAACAACACCAATAACGGAAGCAGAACTACCAGTGAACATCGACCCCCCGACGAAATCAGAAGTCCTGAATGCAATCAAGATGCTTAAAGCTGGGAAAGCAGCAGGACCAGATGGAATCCCAGCAGAAGCTTTGAAAACGGACCCAGAGACAACAGCGGACTTGATGACGCCACTAATGGAGAAGGTGTGTAAAGAGGGCAAAGTACCTGATGATTGGAAAAAAGGATACTTATTCAAACTACCGAAGAAAGGAGACTTAAGTCAATGCTACAACTGGCGCAGCATTATGCTCCTGTCCATCCTAAACCAAATACTAAGCCGCATCATCCTGGAGAGAATCAAACAGGCCAACCTGGATGAAAACATCGACCAGAACAGGCTGGGTTGAGGAGAAACAAGTCATGTACTCAACAAAGCACTACACTACGGATCATCATTGGACAAATCTTGGAATGGCTGTCTCCTCTCTATCTTAACTTCATCAACTTTGGAAAGGCATTCGACAGCGTCGATCGAGAGGTGATTTGGCAACTACTTCGCTACTGCGGGGTCCCATCGACAGTTATACATCTCATCCAACAGTTGTACAACAATGCTGCATGTCAAGTAATCCACAACGGGAAACAACGGGAAACGGAAGCCTTCGAAGTAAGGACAAGAGTGAGGCGAGGCAGTCTACTATCACCAATGATCTTCCTGAATGGAGCAGATTGGATAATGTGACAGACAACGGCAATCAACGAGGGAACAGGTATAAAATGGACTCACACAAAAGACTAGGGGGATCTGGATTTCGCCGATGATGGTATATGTCTGATTTCCCACAAACTGGAAGATATGCAAGTGAAAAGCAACAAGTTGGCAGAAGAAGCATCAAAGATAGGACTTCAGGTGAACATGGATAAAACGGAGGTGATGAAGATTCCTGGCCAACAACAGCAGCAGCAACGGCGACAACAACAGACAACAATCAACCAGCATAAATGGGAGGAACCTGAAAGAAACAACCTCCTGTACCTACCTGGGAAAAGCAAGACAAGCTTTCGTTACTCTCAAGTCTGTGTGGAGGTCAACAGCACTCAGCATCAATAATAAGATCCGGATTTTCAACTCCAATGTGAAGTCAGTGCTACTGGCGCGTCATAAAGAGCATCTCAAACAAACTTCAGACCTTCATTAACAGTTGTCTTCGCTCAATACTTCACTCAAGATCAGATGGCCAGCCAGAAAAGATCAGCAACAGGATCTCTGGTAATGAGCGAACCAACCAGGAACCGATTGTGAAACAAATATGCAGGAAGAAATGGAGTTAGGTGGATTGGCCATACTGTAAGAAAACCATCAATTGTCATCACTAGACAAGCCATCGCTTGAGTGGAACCCGGAAGGGAAGTGGCGAGGTGGTCGTGTAACAGTCACTTGAAGGAGTTCATGTGAAGAGGAGATAAAAACATTTGGGCAGACTTGGAGCCAGGTGAAAACTCTAGCAGAGAACCGAACGCAATGGAGACTCGCAGCTGAAGCCCTATGTTCCTCTAAGAATTAAATGATATAACAATAATAAATAATATCAAGTATTTCAGTTTGTATTTTCATTATAGAGATTAAGAACAAAAATAATTCACATATAAAAGAAGACTCACAGAAAACCTTGACGAAATCCTTTTCTAGCTGCCAGCTCTTCATCGGTTGGTCGTCTCAAAGAAATTTCCCTTACACAGTCTGGTTCTTGAACTATTAGTACGAAATAGTTCCTTAAAGCATAGTGAGTCCCATGGAAATTGACAAACATTCGTCCTTAAAATAAAATGAGCGAGAATACACTTTAGTGTTTTACAGGAATCGCCTCACATCTCTGCAAGTAGACTTAGTTCATGAATGAAGTGAAATAATAATGATCTGATGATCAGTTGAGTTTTGAAGTTCGGTTGATACAGATCAGCAATGATAATTTGTAAGTCATTGATTTATATCCTCCAGCAATACGGGATTTCATTCCATCATCATTAGTCGTCCATTTCATGTCAATAGACGTGTGTCAGTTCATAGCTATCCAATGAACATTTAGACATCATACAAATTAGATAAAAGATGCCATTGGAAAATGTTATTCCTATCACCAGGTTTAACAATACTGAGACGAGAATAAATTATGTATTATTAAATTATTATTCCCTTGCATTCCGAGTAGGACATAGGGCTTCGACAGCACGTATCCAGTTTCTTCTATTCTCTGCTGTCCTCTTCAACTGGCTATCCCCACGATTATCCATAATCTCTTAGCTGCTCTTCATCACACGATCTCCTCCATGTCACTCTCGTATCAATGACTCACTTGTCGCTTCCCATTTGGTTTCCACTCAAGCAATGACCCGCATTCTGTTCGATGTCATTCGACGACTTCCTCAATATATGCCTGATCCATCTCTACTTTCTCCCACATATTTGTTGGGAGATAGGCTTTTGCTTGCTGGTTTGTTCCCAGCTAGATTTTTGTGTGACTTATTCTTTCTGGTCATTTGATCTTCAGTATGAAGCCAGCGAAAGCGGAAGCTGACGATAAAAGTCTGCAGACTGTTGGAAATGGTTTTCGTGACACTCCAAGAACCAGCTTGACATTGGTGTGTTAAATGAGGATCTAATCCCTTATGCTGAGTTACGAAATTTTCTAAATTGGTTTCAGGTTGATGAAGGTGTATCTCGCCTTTCAATTTCTGGATGGCTGACTTTGAAATCTTCATCCGTTCCACCTGTAGTCGAAAGGATGCTTCCTGGATGGATAAAAGAAGGAAGTGAGCTCTGTCAAATCCTTCCCAGTGATAGTGAATAGTGCTTGTTGTTTTTGTTGTTTCTGTTGATTGGTCATCTTCATCACCTCTGTTTTCTCTATGTTCGCCTGGAGTCCTGTTTTCGTCGACTGCTTCTTCAGCCAGTTCAATGATTTTCGCCTGTAAGTCTTCAAGCTTGCGTGACACTGGACGTGTACCATCAGCGAAATCCGGATCTTCTAGTGTCTTCTTATCAGTGGTCCAGTGTATTCCTGTCTTCTCGTTCCCCACACACAGGCTGACGCATAATCCAGTCCATCACAATTAAGAATATCACGAGTGATAATGGACAGCCAGCTTGTCTCACTTTTGTATTCACTTTGAACGTCTCGCTGAGTTTTCCGATGTGGATCAAGTGACACGTGGCATTGTCATACAGCCAGCTGTGGCTGAATGAGATTGATAAAGACTTGGGCCCTGCACACCGTAGTGTTGAAGTGGTTTCCAAATTACTTCTCGGTCAACGCTATCAAGTGAAAGCATTTTCGAATTTGATGCACCTGTTGAAGCAGAGGTTTGACTGCCTTTCTATGCTTTGTTCCATGATGAGGATGCGTCGAGTTACAATTTCACCATCACATTTGTTGCCTTTCCTGAATGCAGCTTGTTCCCGTGGGTGGTGGAGTTCTTCATACAGTGCATCTTCTATTTCCTCCAGGACAACGTGACTTAATATTTTACTTGGCGTAGGTGGATAAGAACATTATTCCACGCCAGTCAGTTCTTGCAGACAGAGGTGCAAGACGCCTTTCTTTGGTTTTTTGACAAGTTAGTCAGCCTTTCTTCCAAAACGTAGGCACCTTTCTTTCTCTCCAAACTTTCTGCAGTAATGTCCTGTGCACATCTGCCACAGTCTTTGTGCCCGTTTACAGTTCTTCGGAGTTTGAGGAATTCCGTCTAGTCCTGCTGCCTTCCCGGCTCGCCTTCACTAGCTTTACGGCTTTCAGGATTTCCGTTTTTGTCGGAGAATTCGTGTCCACTGGAAGACAGTTCTGTGCGTGCTGTTTGTAGTGGTGACATTTTTGGGTGAGTTACAGGTGATGTCTGATTCAACAGTCCTTTAAGGTGATCAGCCTATTGTTTTATTTGTTTCTCCTCCTTGGAAATCATGTTTCCCTAAAAACATTTTATTGGTTTCATCATCTGGGTTGATCTCCTCCCTGAAAAAGACCTGTTTGTCTGAAATGATGTCCTGAGGTCTCTTTTACCTCTGACCTGCCTGCTCTACTCCAATTACCACCAGCCAGTGTGTCGTAGAATTGTCTTTTGTCTTTCCTAGCACTCTTCTTCTTCTTCTTCACTTCATTACTCAGTGCAATATACATTGGACTCAGCTTCTCCTTCTGTTGTCCATCTTTGCATTGATTCATCTTCTCTCTTTCACCATCCTCCTCTCCTCTCTTCCATCAGCTTCCAAGTGCGTATCCGTTGATAACCATTCTTTGTCTTGTCTCCTCCTTCTTTCCAGAACATTTGTACACGTTTCCTTAAATATCGCCTTCAGAGAGTTTCAAAGTTCTTCCATGCAGGTTTCCTCAGTGTCACGTTGGGGGTGGGTCCGACCTTGCCCTGATCTGATGTGATCTGTATTGAGGGCATCTCTTGTAGTTTTCAAGGAAGTAAGCTCCACCTTGAAGGTTTCTTTGACTAGGTGATGATCTCAGCCCACATCTGATCCCCTTCTCGACTTTGTGCACAGCGGACAGGCTGCGTCTCCACTTCCTTGAGTGGCATTCATATGAAATCTGTTTGTTTTGTGGTATATCTGTCAAGCGGATTCCATGTTGCTTTGTTTGTATCCTTGTGTTTGTACACGCTCCCTCCGATCATCAAATCGTTGAAAGAGCAGAAGTCTGCAAATAATTCTCCGTTCTCATTTATTTCTGCGAGTGAGAGCCTCTCAACCCGTGATGAGTTCTCTTCGTGTATTATCTGCTCCTAGTTTGGCTTGAATTCATATCGCCCATGAGGATTTCGATATCACCATTTCGGATGTTTGTAGTTGTCGGTAATAACCTTCCTTCTTTTGTTCCGAGTTGTTTGTGGCATTGGATAATTTTGACCTCCCTGCTTTTTTAGTTGAATCTTGCTGTCATGATCCTGCAGGATAAGATTGGTTCCCACTGAATTAGTGCTTTGGCTGCTACTGGTGACATCAAGATGGCCACTTCCTCGGTGTGTTCGTGGTTGTTGTCTGGATGATCGGAGTAGATTATTGACTCTCCCGTTGACAATGTTGTCAATTCACATCTATTCCATCTGCTTTCGCAGATACCCAGCACTTCTAAGCCATATATTTGTATGCCTTCGGCTACCTGGGCAGTCTTCCTAGTGTCATACATTTCTACGGACATGCCACATACCCATTCTTCCTCTTGGTTCTATCGAGAGAAGACACTTCGACTGACTGGCTTCTCGAAGGCTTTCATCAGCACGCTGTGTCATTTTGCCTCTCCGATTCGAGTGAAGAATAAGATTGTTGTTATCTGAAGTTTTTGCATTTTTAGTATATTTCCTGTGTGGTGAAATTTCTCTAGCGGTTTGAAAGATTTAGTGGTGTGGGGTTGCTATCTCCACGCCCAACCGTCCCTCCTCACCCGGACTTGGGACTGGGTAGAAAACTAGCCAGCTAGTTAACCAGGCGAGGTTGAGAAGAGATTAAATAGTGAAAAGTCATGCTGAATATAGACCACTCAAACTGTTTGCGAATGGATTAATCCAGTAATCTGCCAGAATACAACCTACAGTCTTCGAAAGACGGGGCAGGCTTGTTAACTCTTCAACCACCGGAACAACATCTAATAAACCAGCAATTCTAACCCATTTCATTTCACAACAGGTAACGTGACTGTTACCCAATATGACTAGTGAGAATTTGCCGTCATGCTGAATTCGGTGCATAGTGCTGTTTACGACTTTACACTAGAACTTCAGACAGAACTTCCCTAGGGAAGTCTATTAGTGGTCAAATGTGAAATCAAGCAAATCTCCTGCATACCAACAAGTGGGGAATCAAATATATTAAGTCATCTTTACATTTCTCACCCGAATCCCGTTAGAGTTGTTTAGCTATTGAGAGATTCCGACTGCGCTACATTGATCATGGTAACAATTAGTCATACTTTACTAACTAACTGACATTACGATTCATCTGTACACTATAATTATGCCTAATTTTTATTTGATGTTCTTTTCTTCACTGAATTAATGCATTACCTATGAACATGCTTTGATAGCAGTGAGAGGGGTGTTGGAAACCAACAGTAGGTACTGGATATCTGTCTCATCCTAGTTTGAAGCTCATCTGCAGTAAGAACCTGCCATGTGGGAGTAATTTAGAAATAGCGGGTTACTGATTTTGGTCACAGTGGCTGAATGGTCTATGAGCCAGCTTGCCTTGTAACCGGAATGTCGTGGATTGGATACGCGGTGTGTGTGTGTGAACTGCCGTTGGGTCATAAACAATATAGCTGCCCACTAGTCCTACCTGCTTTTCACCCATTCTTTAGAATCATGTCAATCCGCAGTGCCACTTGTAACAAATCAAGTTCCTACATGCTAACTTGTGAGAATCAAAGTATTTTAAAAATCAAAGGAACACTATATTTAAATAGATAAACGCAGTTGTAGAGGTTGTGAGGAAGAAATCATCCTTGCTGAGCAACATGTTCTTTTCTCTTCAACATCGTGATGGTGAGTAGTTTCTAATATTTACCTCCACTATTCAGGTTGATAAGTTACTGATGAAATGTCGGGGTTTCAATTTATCCTGTTCTGTGTGCAGGAGAAAAAGAAATAGTGCACGGGAACGGGCACTGCTACAGTGGATTCATTTTACAAAGTCTGCTGAACCAAGCAGGGGTCATTTGACTATAAGTACAAAATAATACGGCCCTTTTTTGTAGACTGTCTGAGTTGGATAGTTTTCAGTTAGAATAACTGACTAGCAGACTGACTTGAAATCGGTTTTTAAAACTCAAATCTTCTTCCTAATGATCCAGGGCAGTTGAGAAGATTTTCGAAATGATTTCATAGTGATGAATGTTTCTCTCGTCTTTCCAAATGTGGTCCTGACAGCATCATCAGTCTTGACTGCTTGTAGTTGAAAGGATGCTGACATCTTCCAAAATGTCTGTCTCCGTTGGTAGTGATTGGTGCTTGTCGTTACTTGGTTGGTTGGCTGGTTATCTTCATCTCTTCCGTCTTCTGTATGATCAGTTGAAGTCCTGTATTCTCTGCCTGCTAATATTGCCAGTTTGTCGGTTTTCGCCCGTAAGTCTTCTAGTTTGTAGGACATTAGACATAAATCCTCCGCCAAGGATTCTACATCTTCCAGAGTATTCCGACTGGTACAGGCTATTCCTGTCTTCTAGTTCCACACTGAGAGTGTGAAACATAATCCATTCCAGCACAATTAGGGAATATCATCGATGATTCTAGGCAGGTAGCCTCATCTTGCTGCTGTCTTCATTTCAAAGGCAAGCTTTGCTCAGTTCTTCATTGCGGATCACGTGACATTCGGTATTATCATGTAACTGTTAACTGCACAAACCAACATACCGAATGAAGAGAAACATTTTCACATTGTAAGCATACCTAATATGGATCATGAGGTGACATCAATTAGAGAACCGTTGGAGAAAGAGAATTACGGGACATTCACTTGCTCGCAGTCTGAGACTGTTCACTAGCAAGGACCCATCATCCCATCAGCAATAGAACCAAACTTTCAGGTGACGAGATGATCTTAATCGTTATTCATTCGTTAGCGCGGAATACAGTGGCCTGTGAATTCAAGCATTTGTTAATCTAAAATATATAGCACCATCGTTATCCACTGTCATCATCGGTGAGTATATGTTCTCACAGTGGTCAGGAATTGTCACTGAAATTCCGGGTAGTTTCATGCTGCAGTTAGTCAGTCAGCAGTGAGAAGTAGAATGATTTTCAAGAAGTGATTTGTCGGAATGCAGAGTTTGGATGGAATCATATTTAATTCAGTAATTTACATAAATCCAATAAAATTAAATTACCTTTGTCATCAATTTTCATTGGCAGCATATACCTAGCTGATTCAATCTTCAAAATATTGACTATGCACAGACTGACAAGTATTATGAAGCTCAACTTTGACACGTAAGACAGCATTTCACTTAAAAATAAATAATACAAAAGAAAAAAATAATGACTTTTCGTTTTGGCGTAATTTGAAATGAATGACAGTAAGTGACTTTCTCACTTCCTTTGGGTTACGAGTGGAGAATACGCCTTTCACGGTATATCTGCAGTTTGTCCTATTACCTGTTCTCCTCTTCAACATGTCCGCATTATAGTCCAAAATATTTCATCTCCTCCCAATCTCACTATCTCCATTACAGATACCGAAATCTCCATTTCTCATCCTGGTTTTACTCAACTGATGGTCAGGCGTGCGATGTCATTCGAAGACCTCCTCAAAGTGTATATGCGATCCACCCTCATTTTCGTGTGGATATTTCTTGACCATTACGCTCTTGGTTGGACCGTTTATATGGTTCCTTGTTGCTAATTTAGACAAATTGTGGTAAAAGTCTGTAGCTAGATGTTCGAAATTATGCGAATTACTTATGGGATGGTCATCAACTTGACTGCGGGTTAAGTGAAACTTGCAAGTCAATTTAACACTGTTCAATGGGGGTGAAATTTAACCACAGTATCTCTTAGAAACGGAAATTATTCACAGTGTAATATGTGACCTGCTAGATAACCCAACTGGTAATCAAAAAGGCAAGCGGATAGGCATGACACCGTATACTATTGACAGACACATATCAGCCAGTATGCTTGCCAGCCAGCCAGCTAGTCTGACGTGATCGTAACACGCGGAGGCTGTTACGCTCATCCGAGACTGAGCTCATTAATGGCGTACCCAGTCTTACTCCACTCAGTGAGACGAGTCAATTCGAACACACTAGTTTCTAGCTTATCCTGCTGTTCGAGGTGGATCAAACTCAGTGCACAACTGACCAGCTAGCCCCCAAAGACGACAAGCATGAATCTTTTGATGAGATCACTTGAAACATGCTGGTTAGTCAGCCATCCAGACAGCCAGCATCACCGGTATGCGTATAGCGTTACGCATTCAGGGTTGACTGTAAAATCCTGTCTATAGATGATGTATATTCTACCGTAAAAATTGATGAGAAATTTGAATACAATCAATATGAGATAAAGTACAACTGGAAATAATGTTGTTGTGGTTATGTGATACAGACAGTGTCTTCCAAAGGCATATTTTTCTCATATATTCCCACGTTCAGCACAACATTAGCAACAGAATACTATGTATATTTGGAAACACCTTGGCTTCTGTGTCTTACCTTTTGTTGTCACAATATTCGTACTAGCACTTAAGTACAGTTAGATGGACCCATTTAAAAAGAATGTGAGTTGGTGGCTCAGTGGTAAAATGCTCGTCAACCACGTAGGTGGTCTGGGGTTCGATCTCTAGCCGACGCACTCCTTTACCTTGCTAAGCCGATAATAAGACTGTTAAGGAGGAAAGGTAGGGAATTAGGCGAGTAATACCATCCCGTAAAAATATGCATCACTGCTAGCGAAACGTCAAGCATCTAGTTTGAAGCCCTATTTTCTACTGGGAATGTTAAGGAAGTAAAAAAAACTTAAACAGAATAATCTAATCAAGAAAATATCTTGAAATGACTGTGAGTTATGTCAACTGGATATGTTGAACTAGTAGATCATCGATAGTCAGACTGTCAGAACATAATAAATTAGCAATGGTTAGAATGATTGACCCCTCGAAGATAAGTTATTTAGAAAAAAGCTCAGCAATTGTACTGCATGCACTAACACACAACCACACAATAGGGTGGGTAAAACAGAAGCAAAATTCTACAAAAGTAATACAGCCAGGTAGAGAGAGATTGATTGATTCCTGAATCCTAGTTCAACGAGTCTACGCCCACCGCATGTAACAGAAATTACTCAGCACAAATACCAGAGATATGGAAGATATTATTACCACCAGTCAAATCAGAGAAGAATAAGTGATGTTAAAAAGTGTTTCAATTCGCATTATAACATTCTAACAAGTTACTTATTTTGGCTATGAAAACATCTTATTTCTCTATCATCAACCAGATTATTTGATAACATCGCTTAGTAGTGACTAGAAAATGGTTGTCGATACGTCTGTCAGCTTCAGTTGTGTCTCTGGAAAGTTCTGTACATTTTCATTGGACACTAGTAACTAGTGTGACGTGTTCAGGCCTTTCTTTGGTGCAGACTGAATTCTGTCAGTCAGGTTTGCAATGTGGCCACTATTCTAGGTAGCTCGCCATCACGATACACATTGATTTGATGATATTGGATAGTTGGAGGCAATCGGCAGGAAGCCTTGGACCAAGGCAGGTGCAAGGCTTCCTGTCTATTGCTTCCAACTATCTAATACTATCAAATTCGCTACATTTTAACACAGTTAAAAATCAATATATTTCTATAGCTTATGACACCGGATGTAAGATCAATTCAATTCCCATCCTTGAATCAAGTCGACCTGTCCCGGATCAGCCTAGCGTTGTTGCAACCCAATTATCCATGCCTAACGTGTCAATCCCTGCTTGTTTAATGAACTGTGTGTGTGTTTTTACATCGATCCGTGTAGTCAGACAGTTGAACTCATGACCCGATCACAGTATTTTGTGAACTGTTATTTTTGCTAACTCATGTCTTACTTTGTACTATTCTGTCGAGTTTATCTTATTTATTGATCTTCATCTGTATCTTCCTACCTGATTAAGTAGCCAATTAGATTCTATCTTTGTGCCTATTCTCTGTCTATCTCTGTTAACCGCTCTCTGTTTTATGCCATGCTTTACTTGGGTTCATTCTTCTACTGACTGCTTACCTGAACGGTCGTGTCTGGTTCCGGCTAGTTCGCAATTTTGGCTTTAACGATATTTCGCTCTGATAGCGGTACCTTGCTTTCTGTTAAGCGTTGTGCTTTGTACTCTTGAAACCGTTAGGGTTTGTTGTATATATAATTTGTTTTTTTTAAAAGTACCGTAGAAACAGTGACCGGCTTCTTGTTTGTTCTGGACCGGGATAGACTTTATCTACGCGTGGCTTAATTTCAAGCGATATTGCGCTTACACCGGATATATACACAGTGTATAAATTAGTTTCTCTCCCATCATTTCTCAAAGTGACACCAGTTAGTCCGAGTTAGTATGTGTTACAATGTCAACTTCAGTATAGTATTTGTTAGGAGGTGAGATGGACAGCATGGAAGCTAAGATTCAACATGCCCATATACATCTGGTAACGTTTAGACTGGTTTGCATCGTCAGAAGAACCGTGAAACATTGTATGTATTTCATAGACTGTATTGCAATGAGTTGACCAGACGAGTTGATTCATAAATTTGTCACATTAATCAAAAGACAGGAATGCGTTAGTTGGACAAGATTTGGAGATTTTGACATCTCAGGCAATTTATGTCTAATATCACATCTAATCGAGAACTTATGGTCGAAAACCAATACGCTGGCTGAAAAATCAATCAGAGAACACTTGACTTCAACTAAAGATGGAGAAGATGCAGATGATGAAGACAACCAACAGCAGCACCATGAACAACAACCAGCACCAATCACTATTAACGGTGAAACTAAGCACCATTGTTCCAAATTAAGGCAATCGGAATCGATGAGAATGTCAACGCCAAATTAAGTCGGAGATTCACTCTAAAAGCACTGGAAATTTTCCGGACTCCTCCGGCGCATAAAGAATGTAATTTGGATTTTCAGTACTACAGTGGAGTCAACCAGTCAGTGAGTTCTGCTGAGTGTTTCAGAAACGTAACTGGCGCTTCGGGAAAGGCATTTCCAGCAGACCACTTCATCCTTCCTTCAACAACTGTCTTCGATATCTTCAGAGGGAATATCAGATGGCCGGTGATAAGGAGCTGAAAAAAACAGATTCTGAGACCGGATGAATCAGGAGTTCATTTCTCAACAATTATGGTGGAGATAATGAAGAGGAATCAGAAAAGCGCTGAGGAGACATCGCAAGCCAAGCCATCATTACGGTGCAAGAAGAATGGAAAATATGTTCAATGGTGACATGGAGGAGATCTTGGGAAGAGATGAGATACTATTGGCCAGCAAAAGAGGACCTCAGAAAGGTGAACAAAGTAGACACGTGCTGTTCCGCATGAAACTCAAGGGAACATTGTTGATAATAAAAAAAATAATTCACAGGTGATCATGCTTCAGATGTTCTCAAAACACCCCTATCTAAATCAGTCAGTAAGACGTTCTTTGCAGCAAAATTACACATGACGTTCACCAGCCTCAACTTGTTCTCCATCTCTGTAAAAGATAAGCTCCCTCCTTCGACTGGCCGCCTCCATGCGCAACTATTAGTTCACCTCCTCTTGTGGAGCATGGTAAACTGACTGTAGTTAGAGAACACTTTCCGCATGGATACGAGAACATATTCCAGCATGGTTTTACAAGAGAAGAAGGAAGAGTGTGCAGAGCTATATTCTAGAACACCTGATCGACTGCTGTCATTCTGCCCACCCAGACCATGATTTTAAGATCATCTACCGAATTCATGCTAACCTGCCGCGTTTTCTTCGTTATTGATTTGCGAAGACAGCGTAGGTTTTGGTCATTCATGAATTTAAGCCAGACCTTTGTGTACAAAAGAGGTATGCACATTCCCTACTTCTGCCTTGGCCATAGAGGGATAGACATGGATTTATTTATTTCGTTTATTTGGTTATTTCGTGTACTTTTCCTGATTACAACGATTATTATTATTGTTATCATTATTATTATTACTATTCTCACTCTGAATTGTTTCCGCTTGTCCCACTTGTCATTCCGAATTCCAAATCATTATTATTTATTTTTTACAATATTGAATTCTATCTTACGAAATTTCACACCATGTTATGTAACATTTTACATTCACCTACTAACCCTGTAATTATGCACCCCTTTCCAACATCTCTACACCTTATGTATTATTCTATATAGGACATTAGTTGTTTTGCTACTTGACATTTGACTATGATTATAATCACAGATTTTTTATTGCATTTCATGCTATTATTATTTCATGTATTCGCACCTTTG